GTAGAGAGAGAAAGATTTCAATGAGGATTCTAAAAGTTTGATAGTTCAATGGGATCAGAATCTGATTAAAAACCATTTCAACATGTGACAATAACAGCGACGAGGGTTCTCTGAGCAGGTTTAGCAAGTTCTCACTAATCGAATTATCCTCTTAGTTTGCCGCATGAATTGTCAAGATCACATGAGAACGATTCATAATGAAAAAGTTACAAAAGAAAGGTCTGTAAGTCGAGGTTATTCGTGAAAAGCAGAAAATCAAATAATCGCAATTGACTGGAAATCGAAATCAATGAGCGATCACGAAGATCACATGCGTATTAGGCATGTTAGGGAGGTTTGGCGTTTTCAGTATTGATCATATCTTATCAGGAACGGTTTTGATAACGAGATTCAGAGAAAGCCTATAAAAAGTCCACCTTGTTATCGCTAACGTAGCAATTCAAAGTTGTAGGCTTTGAATAAAAGGAAGGTGAAGAGAGAAGAAGTTCCATCAGATTTTTACTAGCCTTTAAAAGCATGTATAAATGTTGCGTAAAGCCCTTGTTCTGTAATATACTACTTATTCTCGTTATATGCATGGTGAGAAAAAAGTGCGGTTCTTCCAACTGAAGGTGATTAAGTTAGAGTGAAGCTAAGTCTTGTTCGTAAAAACATATGAGTGTCAGGGTTAGAACATATTCTAGCAATCTAGAAATAATATTAGGTTGGCTATTAAATAATTTCGGTCGCTTTCGGCTCCCACAAAAGCTGCAGACAATTTTTTGCCCAGTATTCGGATCTGTGGAAAAAGCACTTCAATGAGAATAAAAAATAGATTTAAGTAGCAATTTCCAATGAAAGGAGTCCGCAAAAAATGAGAAACTCTAGTTCCCTTATTGTGCGCAAATATGCGAAATATTGGGTTTTTTGGTCAAAGACTTTTTAAATGGCAGATCACAGTTTCTACTGTTATTCGCCAAGTAGGAAAAACTTGTCCATATTTAGATACCAAATTGCTGTTCTCTATATCCAAATAAAACGAAGCTTAGAAATTGGCAAAATTAAGCTTTCGAAATTTTAGCCATGTTGGGGCATAACTGCCCCCTGCTGATAATTGAAAACCCTGAATCTTTGATATGTGGTAGAAAAGCTTTGAGCTAATCCCAAGAAATCACGGATAAAAAATATTTAAGAAAGTTTTTATGAAGATTTTCATGCTAAAACGAAATTATTTTCTATCCAACCTAATAATTGGTCTCAGTAAACTAAGCTAACGGATCATTCAAAGAGTATCCCAATGATTCATACCATTGCCTTTTCCTTTTTTTCAATTTTGATTCATGGGATTTCTTACGACGAACTCATAATCGAGTGGTGCGTCACGTCAGTGTAAATATTTTGATTTGGGAATTTTTTAAGCGTAAAGCTTCAAGCCCCCACAATGGTCGGCCGCCTCATCGTGGCGTGGGGGTGACACTGGGTGTCGAACTGCGATGCACAGCCGAGTGTATACTCTGGCAGGGCCTCCCAAGCTGTGAAGGAGTTCGACGTTTCCGGTTTCGGCCGGATGCCTAGCTAAGAGCCGGCAAGGCCAGATCCGCCGCCGTCTGGTTTTCAGGTCGCTAGGCGGTTCTCCCCGCTCCAAGCCCGGGGTCAGCGATCACCCCGTGGAAATCAAGAGTTGGCCTAGTAAGTCTGCTCTTGTAGGGGAAAAATTCCATTACTCTACCAGTTAGAAGAATAGAAAGAAACCCTGTACATCGGATCCCGCCTACGGCGCCGGGTGGTAGCAAGACTGATGTCAGGGTCCTCAGGGCGCTTTTTGGACTGGACAAAAACGACACGTCTGCCCGGACGACACGCCACGGAGACTGCCTCATGCTCTGCACCTACAACGCCAGGACAGTCTCCACAAACGCCGACCTCCACGCTCTTCTCGACGCTGCAGAGCACATCAAGTACCACATCATCGCTCTGCAGGAAACGAAGTCCAGGAAGAAGGACGTGCGACAGATGAATGATGGAACACTCATCATTCGTGGTGAGAAGGTTCCATCACGAAACGTGGGAGGTGTTGGCTTTGTCGTCCACCCATCTATCGTCCATCTTGTCGATTCGCACGAGATCCTATCACCCCGACTAGCCATCCTACGACTACGCCCTCCACGTCAGAAGACCATCAGCATCATCAACTGCTACTCTCCAACATCAGCAGCTGACGACTCAGAACTAGATGCTTTCTACGAAGACGTGGAGGAGGTCGTCCGCAACGAAAAGTCCTTCTACAAGTATGTTGTGGGCGACTTCAATGCGAAAATCGGGATGCCACTAGAAAAGGAATATAGGATCGGGAAGTTTGGATATGGGCTCCGGAACGAAAACGGCAACCGTCTTGTTGGGCTTCTCTCCGCCGCACGACTTTTCCATGGAAATTCCATCTTCATGAAGAAAGAACATCGCCGGTGGACATGGGAATCACCCAACGGAACGACTCACGCGGAGATCGACCACATTCTCGCCAACCGAAGGTGGAGCTTGCTCGATGTCTCAGTAGTTCCATCCTTCTGCAGTGGCTCCGATCACCGCCTCCTTCGAGCGAAGATACGACTCAGCCGAAGGCTGGAAAAGAAAGTCTGTCACAGTGCCGCGAGAAGGAAGGAAGTCGTTTACGACGGTAACAGGCTGGAGGAGCTCATATCAAGATGTGACTGGCCCATCGAGGAGGACCCAACGTATGACTACGACCGGCTTCTGAAAGGATTGCGAGCCTGCGGAGAATGCGCCTCAGTGACTTCTGAGAAGAACTTGGAACGTATATCGAAGACCACCAAGGAATTGCTCGAAAGAAGAAGATTTCTGAGGCAGGATCCGAATGCAACCCATCTCGAGCGACTGATAGCCAACGCCAGTTGCAGAACAGCTTTGCAGGAGGATCTCAGGAAGTACAGGCAAGCCAAGATACTGGAAGCGGCCGAAGAAAGACGAAGTCTTAAGAAATGCCGAAGGGGCCTCTGTGAATATCACGTACCGCTGGCTGCACTATTGAACGAAGACGGGACTCCGACTTCTTCCCGATACAAGATGGAATCTATCGCGAGGAACTTCTATACCAACCTCTTCCGCTCATCAACACCCGTGCCGATGCCCGTTGTTCCCACTGGAGAAGTACCACCACGAATTCTACCTGCTGAAGTGCGCACGGCGATCCAGACCATGAAGACATCCACGGCTCCAGGACCAGACCATCTTTCCGTCGAATTTCTGCGAGCCGGAGGACAACGTCTACACGAGATTCTCGCGTCGCACCTGACATCTTACCTTCAGAAGGAGAGGATTCCCGACCAGTGGAGAACGTCAAGAACCGTCCTTCTTTTTAAGAAGGGTGAACGGGAAGACCTTCGAAATTACCGTCCAATATGCCTGCTGAGCGTGCTGTACAAGCTCTTCACGAAGATTATCCTCGCACGCATATCTAGGACACTGGATGAAGCCCAACCCCAAGAACAAGCTGGTTTTCGCAAAGGATTCAGCTGCATGGGCCACATCCAGACGGTTTCGAGGGTCATAGAAGTCTGCCGGGAGTACCGACTGCCTCTCGTCCTAACCTTCGTCGACTACGAGAAAGCCTTTGACAGCGTCGAAACCAACGCCATCCTGTCTGCGCTAGTCGACCAAGGAGTGGAACCAGCTTACGTGAGGACACTAGCCGACTGCTACAAGGACTGTACAACAACGATGCAGCTATTCCATCGCCCCCTAACCATTCCAATTGGGAAGGGGGTTCGACAAGGCGACACTATTTCGCCGAAGCTGTTCACCGCGGCCTTGCAGTGGGTGATGAAGTCACTGGACTGGGAAGAGAGAGGCATACGAGTTGATGGGAGATTCCTATCCAACCTTCGTTTTGCGGATGACATCGTCCTTTTCTCGAGCAGTATCACTGAAGCAGAGGCGATGCTGAAGGAACTAAACGAAGTAGGGAAGAAGATCGGACTGCGAATAAATCGGAAGAAGACTCAGTTCATGAAGAACGCCCTTTGCGAAGATGCAGAAATGGAATTGGAAGGCACCCCTATCATGGAGACGTCTTCTTACGTGTATCTCGGACGTTCGATGAACATGGAGAACGACTTGAGGGAAGAACTTAACAGGAGAAGAAGAGCAGCCTGGGCCGCCTTCGGGTCTCTGAAGGAAGCCACCGACCAACTGACGGACCCGGAGCTTCGTGCCCACCTGTTCGACTCAACCGTTCTCCCAGCGCTCTGCTACGCAGCTGAGACTTGGGCCGACACCGTAGCCACGTCGAAAGCTTTAAGGACCACCCACAGAGCGCTCGAGCGCAGTCTTCTGAAGATGACCCGACACAAGCAACATCTAGTCGGACTTCGCAGCACGGATATGAGAAGAATGTCCCGTCTTCGTGACCCAGCGGAATACGTTGCGAAAGCGAAACACCGATGGGCCGGTCACATAATGAGAAGAACGGACGATAGATGGACACTAAGAACATCTGAGTGGATTCCTCGCGAAGCCAAACGTCCTCGAGGAAGACCACCAACGAGATGGGCAGACGTGTTCGTGGAACGGATGGACCAGCTGAGAAATCAGCTGGATACGATTCTTGCCCCTGGAACTCGTGGACGCAGCCACCGACGACGACCAAGAAGATCGTGGATGTCCGAAGCGAGGGACAGGGATCAATGGCGACTTCTGTACTGGGGCCCGCACGTCACGTGAGGACGGGCCATCTAAGTATCTAAGTAAGTAAAGCTTCAAGCATCATGTTTCAGAAAATTCACTACGGATCCTGGGATAAGACAGAATGCGAAGCGCAATGAAGTTTATTGTGTGGCTAACTCTACTTTTTGCTATCAAAAAAAAAATTAAGGGGATAGTTCAAGAAATGTTTTCACTTACAATGATTACCTAATTTTTCAAGTCGAAAGCAACAGTTTTCTATTTTTCTAGAAGATTGCCAAATAATTGGGTCTCAAGAGGAATAAAAAGTTTAGGTTTGAACAATGCAAGTGGTTGAATGCTACATTGGCTTCATCACTTGCTTATCTCAGCCACTTGTGTTGGTAAATATTTGCTTGATCTCTTGAAATTTGGCTCGCGCTATCAGTGACAGCAGGAATTTTGAAACGGCGATCGCTAGACGCAGTAGTGTCGACATTGATAAAAGGTTTGAAATGTTCTGATAAAAAATTAAGACCACCACTTTGTTTTGGAACGTGATTACGCTAGCAGGAGTTCTGGCCTAGCCGTCCTTCTATGGGCGCGCCTATCATGGCCGCCCATTTCGTGACGGGGTGGCCACAGGCAGGGTTCAACACGTGTTGGCTCCAAGCATTTCGAAGAACGAAGTCCCTCCTTTCTTTGATTGCGAACTGACACAAGGACTACACATTTAAATACAATCGGAAAACAACCATGTTTCAAGACTGTGTTTCATAACCAGGGTTTCAGCAAGAAAACAACCCCCCAACACCTGTACGGACGAGCTACAAGTTACGCGCGCCACTTTAACGTTCACCTTGCAAGGTATCACTGTCTGTGATACATTTTTCACGTTCCATCGTTACAAATTAGCGTTGGCATGTACTCGTCCACTCTTTCAATAGCGGATTGCAGAAACGGGGGTTTTCGAGAATTTCACGCAAATTTCTGTTCGGATATGCAATCAGTCGAAGGGCAGAGCAACGCCGAAAACATGGAAGGATTTTCCCCACGTTGCCTTTGAGCACACCTGTACAAGGCTTCCTGCCTACAAGTTCAGATCAAAATCAAAGGTTATGTAAGTGACCCTCATCATTTTCGTACCCATTTTTGAAATCGGCACCATGGTTGAGCCCGTGAACAAGGAAAGCACACACTCTCTTGAAGGCAGTGGCGCGGGAAGCAACTGCGCTCTTTCTCTCCTTTTTGGTCTTCTGATGCATTTAACCCAGGCCGGTGCTTGAAAAGTCAAAAAATAATGCTTTTTATGGCGTTTTCCGGCCTTGGAGATTGCTGAGGAGGCGGAGCGGAAATTCTCACCAAAAACAGTGACTGACTGCAGGAGTCTTCAACACCACTCATTTTTGCGGCAATTGGCTGATTAACTCAGGCAGCCAATCGCGACTCGGCTGCAGGAATCTCCGTTCCAGCTTCCTCAGCAATCTCCAACCGGAGAAAGCCATAAAATCACTTTTATGACTTTTCAAGCGCTGATCTAAAAGCATCCAGCATCCATCCAGCAGCCAAGGAGAAACAGAAAGCGCGCAGTTGCAATTCTCCCAAGCCATTGCCTTAAAAAGGCAGCTTCACCCAAAATTTCGTCTTCCATGTTTTTATTGTTATCGGACCTTCCTATGATGCTGACTTCTTTTATGATGTTTCAAATTACCAAAAAGCTCCAAATTTATCCCTTCCTGAAACCCTATTTTGGCAGACGTAGACAAGTGCCCCGGGTTAGTCTCGTTTGCATGTTACAGGAAACCTCGTCGCATGCAACAGTGCTACATCACAAGCTATGTCTCGACGTTGCTTATCATGCCAGAATACTTTGCGAGGCAATCCGTGGACAGGTGGATCGCAAAGAAGAGCAGGTCCGTTATCTCTTTTTGTAGGAAACATTAGGGGACCGGACTAACGCGGTTGGTCTACTTTTAGGGCCTGCTAATAAGATAAAAGTGATCTGGGGTCGCTGGATTTTGAGTGAACGCTGCCTTTGAAGACAGCGTCTAGACAAAGTTGTAGATACTTGTCTACATCGCTGCAATGGCAGACCTCCTAACAAATCTATCAGTGAAGTTTGGTGCAAAGGAATACGTGAAAAGCCGCAATCCTCTTCCTGAGTTTTCACAACTCCGTCTACTTAAAGGCTACTATATGACGAAGGCGCAGAGGCAGTATTAATTGAGCGCAAGCGAACGCGGCGCGCGAGTATTCTCAACGGATGATATCCTGCGCCTCATTCGCTCCGTAGCAAATAAAGCGCGTTCGCGCCAAAGTTACTGCGCCTTCGCCATGCAGCAGTGTATGTATGAGTGTGTTACATGTATGTTCCAAAAGATGCGAAATTGGAGAGCTTCGAAAAAAGCTGGGTTTGTAGTAATCTGGTCGAAACTGTTTGAAACCTACGTCAATTTAGAGTTACAGCTCAGAGTTTCGTTTCTTGAAAATGAGCTTTGCTTCATTCTGATTTCTGTCAGTCAAGCTTGCAATTCCTACTTGCTGTTTGAGGAGCTGGTTGTGACCTACAAAAGTGACGTTCACATTGCGACTTTAGGTTGCTTAGCGTAGCGCAATGATCCTACCACTAAATCTTTAGTTTTGAAATTGCTTTGCCTTGATGTATCTTGCACTAGCACGAAACATGTCAAAACATGTTGAATCAAAGCCTCCTTAATTTGCAAATCTATCAAGAGCAGTGGTTTATCGCACGGAATGGATTCTGCGCAGTCGAAAGTTTTAAACAGATAGAGGCGGATAGCATACGCAATGAGAGGAATGGACTATTCGGATTTCCAGAATAAATTTTCTGCGCAAAGTCTGCTCTTAATTTATATTTTGGGTTTTCTTTTGCACACTTTTTCTCTCTCTGACCAAACTCAGTGTTATCTCTGAAACTTCACGGGAGTATCCTGCGATGCTATTGTTTTCCAGATTTGGTGTGTTCAAGCCCTGTTAAGGGGCTTCAGAAGTGCACCTTAGCTCAGAGATAATTCGGAAATTGATTGTAAAGTTTGACAGGTTTACTTTTATCTATTTTTATTTTACATTTATCTATTTTTATGCTCTGCAGATTCCAGATAGGAATTCAGCCCAAGAGAAGGCTTTCAAAGCATTGAAAATTTGGAAAGCGAGATTTTGTCTAGGCAAAGCCTTTAACATTTTTGTGAATTGAAATTCTGCACACTGATTTTTAGACAATAGCGAGTTTCTTTGCATGCGCGAATCTCCTAAGAAAAGTTTTGCATCAAAATGGGCAAAAGAACCTTTTACTACATTTGCCCAAGTAGGTGTGAAGTTATGAAGCAAAGCAAGAAGAAAAGTGATTTGTGGAATTTTCGTGGAATCTCCGTTAAACTTAAACGGATAAGCAACAGAAAGTTTGGCAGTAGGATTACTTACAATGAGGCTAATATGCACGTACATTTCCACTTGATGGGAGAGGAACCGTGAGGACGCTTTATATCTCGTGTTTGGGAGCTTGCATCCCTCGTTTTCTACCCGTTTTTTGAGGATCTACTACAAATACATTAGCATAACGAATGAGAGCATAAAAGCTGGGTTTTTATTGTTTTGTTTGTACAAGAAAAATCCCAGCTTTTTGATGAGTGGCACGCGATGTCACTCATCAAAAATGTTATAACTTCCTTACTTTATTTGTACTTTCGAAATCATGCGTAGCGCTGTTCATATCAGATATTCGTAAAAGTTTACAATGTTTTCTTTGCCTTCATGTAAAGGGAGTGGTCGGCCAATTCAACTGGCGTGGGGGTGACACCGGGTGTCGAACTGCGATGCACTGCCGAGTGTATACTCTGGCAGGGCCTCCCAAGCTGTGAAGAAGTTCGACGTTTCTGGTTTCGGCCGGATGCCTAGCTAAGAGCCGGCCAGGTCAGATCTACCGCCGTCTGGTTTCCTGTCCCTGGGCGGTTCTCCCCGCTCCAAGCCCGGGGTCAGCGATCGCCTTGTGGAAATCAAGTGTAGCCCTATAAGTGCTTTTGTAGGGGAACAAATCTTATTACTCCGTCAGCAAGAAGATATAGAAAATTCTGTACATCAGATCCCCCTATGGCGCCGGGTGGTAGCAAGAACGATGTCAGGGTCCTTAGGACGCCTTTTGGATCGGACAAAAACGACACGTCTGCCCGGACACACTGCCTCATGCTCTGCACCTACAACGCCAGGACAGTCTCCACAAACGCCGACCTCCACGCTCTTCTCGACGCTGCAGAGCACATCAAGTACCACATCATCGCTCTGCAGGAAACGAAGTCCAGGAAGAAGGACGTGCGACAGATGAATGATGGAACACTCATCATTCGTGGTGAGAAGGTTCCATCACGAAACGTGGGAGGTGTTGGCTTTGTCGTCCACCCATCTATCGTCCATCTTGTCGATTCGCACGAGATCCTATCACCCCGACTAGCCATCCTACGACTACGCCCTCCACGTCAGAAGACCATCAGCATCATCAACTGCTACTCTCCAACATCAGCAGCTGACGATTCAGAACTAGATGCTTTCTACGAAGACGTGAAGCAGGCCTTCCAGCTGAAGTTCTTCTATAAGTTCGTTGTGAGCGATTTCAGTGCGAAGATCGGGATGCCAGCGAATATAGGATCAGGAAGTTTGTGTATGGGCTCCGGAACGAAAACGGGAACCTTCTCGTTGGGCTCCTCTCCGCCGCACGACTTTTCCATGGAAATTCCATCTTCATGAAGAAGGAACATCGCCGGTGGACTTGGGAATCGCCCAACGGAACGACCACGTGAAAATCGACCACATTCTCACCAACCGAAAGTGGAGCTTGCCTTATGTCTCAGTAGTTCCATTTTTCTGCAGTGGCTCCGATCACCGCTTCATTCGAGCGAAGATACGACTCAGTCGAGAGCTGGAAAAGAAGGTCTGCACACAGTGTTGCAAGAAGGAAGAACGTCGTTTGTGACGGCTACAGGCTGAAGGAGCTCATCAAAGTTGTGAATGGCCCATCGGGGAGGACTCAACGTACTACTACGACCTTCTGAAAAAGATTGCGAGCCTGCGGAGAGTGCGCCTCAGTGATTTCTGAAAAGAACTTGGAAGGCACTTCGAAGACCACCAAGGAAATGCTCGAAAGAAGAAGATTTCTGAGGCAGGATCCGAATGCAACCCATCTCGAGCGACTGATAGCCAACGCCAGTTGCAGAACAGCTTTGCAGGAGGATCTCAGAAAGTACAGGCAAGCCAAGATACTGGAAGCAGCCGAAAGAAGTCGAAGTTTCAAGAAGTGCCGAAGGGACCTCTGTGAATATCACGTACCGCTGGCTGCACTACTGAACGAAGACGGAACTCCGACTTCTTCCCGATACAAGATGGAATCTATCGCGAAGAACTTCTATACCAACCTCTTCCGCTCATCAACACCCGTGCCGATGCCCGTTGTTCCCACTGGAGAAGTACCACCACGAATTCTACCTGCTGAAGTGCGCACGGCGATCTAGACCATGAAGACATCCATGGCTCCAGAAGCAGATTATATTTCCGCCGAACTTCTGCGAGCCGAAGGACAACGTTTAAACGAGATTCTCGCCTCGCACCTGACTTCAGAAGGAGAGGATTCTCGACCAATGGGGAACGTCCAGAACTGTCCTTCTTTTCAAGAAGGGTAAACAAGAGGATCTTCGGAACCTATCGTCCAATATGCCTGCTGTGCTGTACTAGTTTTTCACGAAAATTATCCTCGCTCGCATATCTAGGACACTAGATGAAGCGCAATTCCAAGAGCAAGCTGGATTTCGCAAAAGATTTAGCTGCATGGGCCACATCCAGACGGTTTCGAGGGTCATAGAAGTCTGCCGGGAGTACCGACTGCCTCTCGTCCTAACTTTCGTCGACTATAAGAGAGCCTTTGACAGCGTCGAAACCAACGCCATCCTGTCAGCGCTAGTCAATCAAGGAGTGCATCCAGCCTACGTGAGAACACTAGTCAACTGCTACAGGGACTGTACAACAAAGATGCAGCTATTCCATCGCCCCCTGACCATTCCAAATGGGAAGGATTCCGACAAGGCGACACAATCTCGCCGAAGCTGTTCACCGCGGTCTTGCAGTGGGTGATGAAGTCACTAGACTGGGACGAGAGAGGCATACGAGTTGATGGGAGATTCCTGTCGAAGCTTCGTTTTGCGAACGACATCGTTCTCTTTCCGAGCAGTATCACTGAAGTAGAGACGATGCTGAAGGAACTAAATGAAGTAGGAAGAAGTTCGGATTGCGAATAAATCGGAGACCCAGTTCAGGAAGAACGCCCTTTGTGAAGATACAGAAATGGAAGTGAAAGGCACCCCTATCATGGAAACCTCCTCTTACGTATATCTCGGACGTTCGATGAACATGGAGAACGACTTGAGGAAAACTTAACAGGAGAAGAACAGCAGCCTGAGCCGCCTTCGGGTCTTTGAAGGAAGTCACTGACCAGAAACCCAGGGCCTCGTGAGCACCTCTCGACTCAACCGCTGAGACTTGGTCCGAAACTGTAGCCACGTCCAAGGCTCTACGGACTACTTGCAGAGCGCTTGAGCGCAATATTCTGAAGATTAGTCGACACAAACAACACCTTGTCGGTCTCCGCAGTGCGGATTTGAGAATAATATCCCGATATAATATCCCGTGTGATCCAGCGTTATACGTCGCGAAAGCGAAACGTCGGTGTGCCTATCACATCATGAGAAGAACAGACGACAGATGGACACTAAGAACGTCGGAGCGGCTTCTTCGCGAAGCGAAACGTCCCCTAAGGAAGACCTCCAACGAGATGGGCAGACGTGTTCGTAAAACGGATGGACAAGCTGAGAAATCGGCAGGATACGATTTTTGCCTCGTGGACGCAGCCGCCGACGACGGCGAAGAAGATCGTGGATGTCGCGAGGAACAGGGAGAAATGAAAACTTCTGTGCTGGGGTCCACACGTCACGTGAAGCCGGGTTATCTAAGTATCTAAGTAAGTATATAAAAGCAAAGCACGGAGAATATGTCCCACAGCTTCCATTTCTTCTTAGCGAGGATGTATGCGCATACGGTTCTGACTAATGTGAACATGCCAATAGTGTACAATCATTCTCATCTTCTTAATTGACTCTTTATCTCAATCGTGTACGAGGAGAAGCTCATTGCAATTCAAGGACCACCATGGCATGTGTTGCCTTCCACTCTCATATCCTCTTCGTTTTGCTTGTAAGGAAAGTTGAATTGTCAGTCAACTGCATTAGCAGTCCGCCGCCAAACGGGGGCAATTACACAAAACTTCCTTTTCTCATTGAAGCAAACGCCTTCATATTATAGAAGACTATAACTAATTTTCTTATGAACAAGGCATAGGTTTTTTCGATAATGTAATTTTTTTACAGACTGTGTATATCAACATGACACTCTTTATCTTCCTCTCAGGAAAGCACATTTTAAGCCTGATGACTCTCAATATTCTTAATTCTACGGAAACAGTTTTCTTCAATGACTTTCAAGGACTAAAAGTAAATTTGCCGTCGTATCTATCAGCTTAAAGCCCTCTTTCAGTTGAGCATTTCTATATTCTTGCATATTTTCGTCATAGTCTTTGTCTTCATTGCAATTTTGCTTACCATCATGGATAGCCTAAACTTTGTATCCCGAGGAGTGGTAAGTATCGGCGATTCAAATCACGCAAAGATTGGGCACCATTGCGACCACCAAGATAGCTTGTGCATGAGAGAGACAGCAGAACGTAAGAGAAACGAAAGAGCTTTTGATCGGAGAGACGCCGATACATGCGCGATCTTTGCGTGAATCGCCTATGTGCCTTTCTTAAGAACCGTCGAATTACCTTGAAACAGACAATCGTGATTCTGCTGTATTCCTCCTTATTTAACCTTATTGGCTGTGTTTTGCTTTTTATTTACAAGAAGACCACAGTGGAGATGTCTAAGGGGATCGCCGGTTGTGCAGTAAGAAAATTTTTCGGTTGTATCTCAAGAGGCTAGATTATCGCTAACAAGTTTGCAAACATCAACTGCAGGTACTCTCTGCGATAACTGCAGCGACGACATTCTTCTTCGCTGTGTTTTTCAATCTAATATCATCAAGCTACACATCCAGGGAGAGAAATGCTCCACCTTTAGCAGCTCCACTTCCTGTTGTGCAAGAGTAAGAATATTATTTTTTTCGAATCTTCCCTCCAGGCTGTCAACTGAGATCATAATTTTTCGGCGAAATAATGTCATCGAATGCTATATTCGAATGCCATATTTTTTAGTTTCCCCGTTCATTCTCATTCCAAGCTCTATCTCTCGTTTATTCCCTCAGAACCAGTATAGATTTTTCGTTTTTTTTTTGATTTTACATTGGGTAACATGTAGTAACATGTGTTCGCGTTTTCACTGCAATGCCGAGGTCATGGCCGTCGCTAGGTGGCAAATGTTAGCTGGAAATCGTTTTTGCCGAAGTGAAGAGCGTAAACATTAAGCACATACGACTTCTGAGAAATCTTATGGGAATTCGTCTGGGAAATGGGAAATCGTCTTCGCCGAAGGGAAGAGCGTTAACATTAACGCACATACGATTCTGAGGGCAAATAATGAGATATAAAAGCACTTAGCCAATCTGACAGAATCCCTTCTGTATTCGATGCTTACTGCATATTAGCAGTTTAGTATCAAAACTCCTCCCTTTCGCAAAGACAGGTATCTAGCACGAATATGCAGTTAAGAATATCAAAACGAAACAGTCTCCCTTGACAATGCAGGGTATTACGAAGAACCTCTTGTGGCGTTGTTTGTAGAAGTGTGGCTGGTAATTTGCAGCGAACGACGAATGGAGAAAGTGAGGGAAAGACAAGAGTGTTTTAGAGCTGTAACGCAAAAGTCGAAATAAATTCGGTTTTTATATCATCAAATGCCGTAGCATAGCGGAAGGGACGAAACATAAGTTGAGACGAGTACTCGTAGGTGGAGCCTAACCTGAAAAAAATGAATTTATGTGGGATTTTGGAAACTTAAGTGGGCAGGTACGAAAATACCTTTTTCGGTCCCGCGCAACCTCAGAGTGCTCCTAGGTTGCGCGGAAGCAACCTAAAATAGTTTCCCTTTTATTCAACTTGATTGGCGGTTGGAAGGCCAGGCATCGTGACCTAGTTAAGGCTAGAGAATGATCAGAGAGCACGCGCGCGAGAAAGACGCAGACTGCGTCACGGGCGTCGCGGGCGCGAGCGGCCTTGACTAGTTCACAAAGCCCCGCCTTTCAGCCGCTAATCCAATTAGATCAAAGGTTACAACTCCCTTTCATTCACGTAATTTCTTCAAAATTCTTCGTACTTTCTTTCGGTCATCGTGGCGGAGTTCTGTGCACACAGGTCAAGCCCAGTCGTGTCCCTAACATGTTAATTTACATATTACTGGTAAAACGACGTTAGGGCCTAAAGGCAGTAGCCGGGAAAAATTGCGGTTGCCAGCTTTCCACACCTACAGGCCTTCTGGATGCGCTGAGTTTAGTGCTGCGCTTGAAAAGTCAAAAAGTGCTTCTTACGGCGTTTTCCTACCCTGGAAGTTGTTGGAGGGAATGGGCGACGGATACCCGCCATAAACAGCGACTGCCTGCAGGAGGCCTCCACCCATTTTGGGTGGAATCTGTGTAATTGGCTGATCGGTTCAAACCGCCAATTGCGATGTTGGCAAGAACCCCTAGCCCATTCCCTCCAGCTATCTCCATGTTAGGAAAACGGTAAAAAGCGCTTTTTTAAAGATTTTAAACACAGCACTCAGATAGACTCAGCTTCAAACATGTAGGTGTGAAAAGCTTGCAGTCGCAGTTTTCCTGAGCCAAAGGTACGTCACCAAAATTTGAGTCTCGGGATTTTTGCGAAATTACAAGCCTTACCGACCTTGTACAACCCTTACGGTTCCGCGCAAAAATCCAAAAACCCCGTTTTCCGAAGCCACAGGAGGCAACGCGGACGAGCCGTTCCGCTTTACCTTAGCTTTAGCCGCAAGCCTGAATACGTCACGAAGGTTGGCGCAGCTTGGAGAGACGTGCTGAAACACTTCAACGAAACCAGCCGTCCAGCGCGCCGAGATGCGCTCCGCGAGCCACTCTGAGCCCAATTTTTTCGGCGTAAGAGGGGCCTTATGGAATGGGATTTGAGCAAGGTTTGAATTTTTCATGAATTTCAGCAGTTTGTCCTTCTCCTGAAAAAGCTGTTCGAATCAGAGTACTTTCCCTGCAAGTATCGAAATCAAGCAATGGTACTCTCAGTTTACTTTCAATGTCGTCTAGAGAAAGCTCGTAAATTGTCGTCACCATCATTCAAACATTCTAATTCGTCTTATGTAATTCATTTATGTAAAGTATCTCAAATGGGGCAAAAAAAAGGACCGAATACTGCAGTGTTGGCATAAAAAGAAAGAGTATGTTTGATGAACTTTGAACTTGCGAAGAAAACTGCGAATATGTTAGGTCTTTTCAAAAGTTCGTTCGCCAGTTTTTCAAATTCATAACTTCCTTTCTTCTCAACGATTTTCAAAATTATTTTTGTAAGAAAGAGGAAACCTTTTCTTTATAGCGGTGCCTTTGCCATGAGTTAGCGTTAGTAAGTTCGAGAGTTAAAAGCAATTGAATAAATTTACTTAAGATTGGGATTTTCTATGCTGGATCAAGAAAAATTCCGTTAACTGCTATTATCTGATAGAGAAAATTATGCTCTTTACTATAGTGCCTTTTCCACAAAGTAGAACGAAAAAGATCGAAAGTTATAGGCAAATAAAGAGAACTTTAGTTTTGCTGTTTTTGAGCATGTCCAAAAAAGCCCAAAAACGTCACAAAAAAGGCGAGAAAGCCGAGAACACGGGTTTTGTGAACTTCTCTTTCTAGCTGAGTGATTTTTGTGCTAAGGGAGAGCAGTTTTGATTCCCATGGAAACGTATAGCAATTCCTAAAAAAATCATTACTTCTCATAGGAACAGTCGTTCAACAAGGAGTTTGCCTAGCTAGAAAGACGAGAACAATAAACATATGTTTATGTTTGTTTCGGTACTTTTTGTAGCGTTTCAAGATTTTCAATGAGCTTTTTTGAAATTACCAAAATTTAAGTGGTTTTCTCTTTGCATTTTTAATTCTGCGACTTGTACTTGGTAAAACAAATTTGAGCAATATTTAGAAAGTTCATGATCTCTTCATTCTAGGAAAAATTGCCAGGCAAATCTAGGCAGATAGCAGACCACGATTTTTTATAGAATAATGCGAAGAATTTTTGAAATGACCTAATATATATCTTACTTATAATAACGGGCTAAGGGTTGTTTACGTTTGTGCGTGCGTCTAAATCTCTGTCTGTCAGGAAATTCGTGGAGCGAGCTACAACCAAGGTCTTGAGCTGATTTTTTGCACCAGATATGCTTCCAGCACGGCGAGTCGATCCGGTAAACGGGGCGTTTATAAAGTGGGTGTCACATGGGCCTACCCGGCTTTTGAACCGCATTACTGGAGCGGTGTTTGGACTTTTGCAAAGTTGTGGATTTGTTTGCAAAGTTATAGATATGAACTTTAGCTCAAATGATTAAAAAATCTTTTTTTTGCGAAATGGCGCCAAAGAGGAATGAGATCGTCGACTTGTATATAAGTATCAATCCGTGGCGTACCGAGGGGAGAACGGGTGGGCTCCCCCCCCCCCCCCCCCTCCGAGACTGGGTCGCGAAATTTTTGAAAGTTACTTGAATGTATTATAAAAATGTGCAAGCGACTTGTTTTCATTTGTAGAAATTTTTAAAGATTCAAACTAGCCTTATACAAAAATTTTTTTCGAGGGCGTGGCTGGCGTCACGCCCCCATTTTTAAAATTTTGGGGTTAAGGGGCCGTAAAAATCTTGGAAAACATCCCAAAAAAATTTTCGGAGTGCGTGGCTAACGCCTTCATCCGAAAATTTTTTTGTCCCCCCCCCCCCCCCCTCTCCGAGCCGAAATCCTGGGTACGCCACTGGTATCAATATAAATATAAATACAAATATAAATATAAATATATGTAAAGTAGTTTCAGGATTGCAATTCCTCCCCCTCCACCGCCTTAATTCTTTGAAAAGAAGAAAACAAGCGGTTATAACGAAACAACATTCGATTATGAGAATAACATATGTTCGCTCTATTTCAGATGCAATAAACCTGTTTTATTATGTTTCGTAAATGATTCAACTCAGACGGCAAACGTTTTCACAGTAGAACAGGATAGCCACTGAGCGGGAAACGAAACTTATTGCTAGCTATCGGAAAGACCGTCACTTAGCTAGCAGGAGTTACGACAGATCATAAGCTGTGATGCTGTGCACCTAATTTGCACCGAAGACGAGCTGATTTTGCTCACGGTATCCTTATCCTACAGTGTATGAATCCGGATTTTACTAAAATGAAGTTGTTATTGGAAGCGACTTTCCAATTCACGCTCAATCGGGGCAAATTGTTTTTGGGAGTATTCTGCTATGAAGTTTCAAATACGATGGTGGTTTTGCTGGAAACCTTGGAATTTTTTTATTGGTATTTAGAAGTTTTCTGCATGCTGTTCTCGGAAATGCTGGTAGTTGTTTAGAACCTGCAGTTTCTCTAAATTCTTGTGTTATTTACAAATTTCACCGCGATTTTATTTCTGGGACTAAAGTGTCATGGAACATGATATTTTAGTTAGTTCAGGAATTCTGGAGTCAGTCTAAGGTTTGCAATATTTCTGGAATGGTTTTGAATTTCTGAAAGATTTTCATTTTTAGGCAATAACAGCAGGTTGAAAACCTCTAAATGCCAATCTCACTAGAATTGCAGTGAAATTCAAATTTGGATACAAAAGAAAAAGACTTTGAAGTTTTAAGAAAATCCGCCAGCATATTCGAAAACAGTAGCATACAGTGGCGTACCGAGGGGGGGGGGCGCGCCCCCCCGAGGATGGGTCGCGAAATTTTTTAAAGTTACTTATATGGGTTATAAAAATGTGCAAGTGACTTGTTTATTTTTGTAAATAATTAAAATAATTTTTAAAAATTTTTAAAAAATCAAATTAGCCTTGTAAAAAAAATTTTTTCGGGGGCGTGGCTAACGCCACGCCCCCTTTTTCCAGATTTTAGGGGTCGGGGACCCGCAAAAGTTTTGAGAATCACCCCAAAAATTTTTTCGGTGTGCGTGGCTAACGCCACGCACCTTCTTTAGAAAAAAATTTTTGTCGCGCCCCCCCCCCCCCGAGCCGAAATCCTGGGTACGCCATTGGTATCATAGGAATGTTTTATACATCACCAGTGCGTCACCTCTGCTTCGCAGAGGCTCGCACTGGCTCTACTATCTATGTGCCTTACTCATTCTCGTAAAATCGTGCACTGGAACTCACCGCGCTATGCCGACTATCACGAATAAAATGTAAACAATCACTCATTTAGAAAGTCTTTTCACGTGAGATCGGTGATTTCGCGTGGATCAAACTTTTCGCAGGAAGACAAACGCAAATAGGTTTTTGGATTTGTCATAGCTTGATAGTAGCCATAAAGGCAATGGTCACGGTGAGCTACATCCCTGTGCGAAAATCTTCTCAAATGCTTGGCTAGAACCTTGGCAAATTGACCATCTATGCAACCAATTCTTTTTGGCGCCGTTTTCGTTATGTAGTAAACTTCCGACCACTTTTCGGGTTAAACTTCATCGCTTGCACATTTGCTTACCAAACTCATCCACAACTCTGCAAAAAGTGGTGATACGGACCGAATTTTGCGGCACAGAAGCCAGGTGGACCCGTTTGGCGCGCAACTTCTGAGGGATCCACTCAACGAATCTATTCGTGCTTTTGCATGTTGGATATTCATGAAGGTAGCATGCGCTATACAAAATTTGGGCTTAGAACGCTGGCTGGAACACGCTTCGCGAATTTCGTAACAGACACACTCTCACACACACACACAGACACACAAAGTCACGTAAACATCCTTATCCCGTTAATATAACTTATGATTGGAGATTTTAAAATTTGTAAAAGAAAAGTTTATCAAAAAAAATAAATTTCCAAGGTTTCGAGCAAAACCATTATCATATTTGGAAACATCATGACAGAGAATCTCTAAATACAACTACAATCGGACGAATCTACTACATCGGACGAAAATCGCTACTGATTTTCGATTTCAATTTCAGTAAAGTCCCGGTTTCGTACATTGTAGGACGAGGACGTAGTTACTGTGGGCAGTATCAGCTAATCATAGGTGTAAATTAGGTAGGTGCAATTCAGCGCTGCTGACAGTTCGTGGCCTTTCATGACCTCTGCTAACCATTAAGCATCCCATAAGTCTTCTCACTTTTAAGTCTTCGCTGTGATAACTCATACAACTTCTCATTCTGAATCGACATCAAGAATCATTCGATAGAGCAAAGCACGCTTTATAAGAGGACATTAATGCCTTTGCATCAGATTCAGTTCACCTCAAGTTTGAACCCAAAATCTAAAAAGTTTCGGATGCCCAGAAAATTGAAAAATTCTTTATATTTTGGTTTAAAAAGGTACTACGGATCTCCCACTCGCTCACGCATATACACTCCATATCAGACACTCATATGTGCTGTTGCTGTATTTTTTACTGGCTAGAAATCAAGAAAATGAAGATATCAAGTTTTTCTACCAAAGTGATGCTGTGCTGTTCTTATACTGACAGTTGTATACTACAAGCCATTGCAAGTACAGAGCTTATCAAATGAAGTGTCGTTTGCACCATCACTTCCATTCTCGCGCTGGACTCTGCGTCTTTTCTTAGAACATGCTCTTTAAACACTTTCTTAGGGCGAACATGGGAAAGGCGGAGCCTCAATCGATTGGAAGTGATTAGAGAGCATATTCCGCGGAAAAGACGCAGAATCTAGCGCGAGAATGGAGATGCTGGTGCAAACGACACTTCATTTGATAAGCCCTGTAGCGCAAATTTTTAGCTCTTTATAAGCTTTGTTCCCGAGAAATATAATCTAACTTTTCTCACTCGGGTTTGTCACGCTTAGCTCAACACTCGGAAACGAGCTTATCTAGGGCTAAAAATATACGGTTGTGCTTCTTATGGCTTGTAGTATACAGCTGGGAACAGCACAGCATTACTTTGGTAAAAACGCGGAAATTTTCGTTTTCTTGATTTCAGCTAATAAAAAAATACAGCAAGAGCACATATGAGTATCTGATGTGGAGTTTATGTGCGTGAGGAGATCTGTAGGACTTTTTTGAACGAAGATATAAGAAATTTTCAATTTTTTGGGTATCCAAAACTTTCTAGATTTTGGTTTCATACTTGAGGTGGATCGAAGCTCGTGCAAAAGCATAATCGCCAAGTTAGTGGTTAGTTAGTTAGTGGTAGTAGTTAGGCTTGCTTTTCTCTATCGAATGGTGTGGGATGTCTATTTAGAATAAGAAAATGTATGTCTTATCACGCGAAAACTCAAAAATGAAAAGACTTATGGGACAATCTAATATGTGGCGGCAAGTACGGAACTGGAAAGTATCTTAAATTGCAGAGGTGATCTGAAACGAATGCATATTGCTGAAACTATCTTATTGAGCTGATTCCAAATCTAATCTTTATATCTGCTTCGGCGCTCTCTAGAAGTTGTAAGCGTTTGAAGGCCCAAATTTGACAAACTTTTAGCATCACACTTTCACGCATTAATTTCCGGTAAATGTAAGCATTCTTTGAGATCAATACAACTAGTGTCATGCTGGACGCTATACTTGGGTCCGAATTGAATAGAAATTCGATCATTCGAATAAAACATTCGATTATATTCGTATTCGAAATTCGATATTCGGAATTCTTCCATTTTGGAATAATATTCGTAACTCGAATAATTGAGAAAACGGGGTTTCAAATAAAATTCGAAACTCGAATGAACAAAAAACAGGGTTTCGAATGAAATTCGAAAACTCGAATAGGTAATCAAAAAACGAGGATTCGAATTTTATTTGAAAACTCGAATAATCAAAAAACGGGGTTTCGAATAGATTTTATTCGAATGTTTTATTCGAATGTTTATTCGAATTCGTACTCGACTTTGTTGCAGACCCATCTGCTGAGTATTATCAAGCTCACTTCGTCCGCGTTTTTTTTTTTCGCAAAACTAGGTAATGCATCTTTCGCAACTGTTACGACCTCTGGACTGTACGGAGAGTCGCATTCTTTCGACTGCTTGCGACAGTAAAAAAAATCATAGTGGATTTTGATTGATGCTTTTTCGATCAATGAGATTGTTCGCACTGCTATTGGCACCAAATCAGCAAAGAAGCTATCAAATTCAAGCTCATTTTCCGAGTTCATATTGAAAGTGTTTTGAAATGCCTGTTTTTCTTTCTTTGCATTGCTCATGCTTGTGGTACGCAAAGTCCACACTAGTGAGTAGTCTTGCTCGCATAAGTTGTATTGCACAACTGCCTCTATTCGCTACCTTAAAGATTTTTTGCGAATTGGTGTATTCTGATTAAAGGAATCGCAGTTGTAGTGGAGGATTAGCCGGTTTAGATCGCCGTATGCGATTTGCCAGTTACGAGATGTCTTCAAATATAAATAATAATATAATATATGCCAGCTTACCACAAATGTTTAGCGTGTACAACTTTGTGCTTCTAGAATAAGTTTTAATCAAAATTTATATCGACTGCTTTTTTAGATCGTCCAACAATGGGTAAAATACGACTTCTTGCTGATGTATAATCTAGTTGCCAACCGACCAACTTCATCGATTTTTGGAGAAGTTTGAGCTGGGGTCTGAGAGTTGGTACAGGGGGTTAAGTGAGGGCGCTGATTATAAATAAAGATTTACTTTATCGATTTTGTCGACTTTTGGAAAATCTCGAGCTACGAGGTTGGGAGTTGGTATAGGGGGATAAATGAGGATGCTGATTGAAACCGAAGTCTATGTTATCTATTTCAGCGATTTTTGGAAAAATTTGAGCTAGGAGTTGGTATAGGGGATACAAGGGTGTTGATTATGAATGGATCGGCTTTAGCCAGATATGTCGGCAAGTTTAAGATATGGTTGCTCTAGTTATTCGATATATCATTCGAATATTTATTCGAAAAATTCGACTTCCAATGTTCTAATATATTCGATATTCATTCATTCGATATTTTTGATTTTCCGAATTCATTCGAAATT